CTCCAACTGCCAGAGTTCAAATCCTGGCTGTGACACTGACTTAGTTCAAATAGGCTGAATTATTGTAATAAATAGACCAAAACATATTTAATGGCTCAGACACAATAGAAGTTTATTTCTGAATCATGCAACAGTCCAACGAGGGTGTTTCTTCCTGGAGGGTGGCATTCCTCCATGTGGTGACTCAGGAAGAACCCTTCTTGGATTCTTAGAACCTTAGTGTTTTGGGTATTTAGCTGGTAGAAGGGTAGAAAGGCTATCAAAGAGACAGTGGTGGCTATTTTATTAACTCTAGACTAGAAATGCCCATCTTCTTGAGTATGAATCTAGTCATGTGGCCACATCTACAGCAGCAGAGACTTGGAAATACACTTCAGCTACATTCCTGGCTATTCCTTTTTATACGATAGGAGAGTGCTGTGCAACAGAACTTTCTGCAGTGGTGGAAATGCTCTAGGTCTGTGCTTCTAATCTGATAGCTGCTAGCCGCATTTGACCATGGAACGTTTGGAGTGTGGCTAGAAAACTGAGAACTGGATTTTTAATTGTATTTACTTGTAATTAACTTAAATAGCCACATATAGCTAATAGCTATGGTGTGGGACAGTGCAATAATAAAGAAAAGAGAGGGGCTGGGGATATAGCTCAGTGGCACAGTGCCTGTCTGGCAAGCATAAGGTCCTGAGCATGATTCCCAGTAAAAAAAAGAGAGAGAGAGAGGAGGGATTTTGCAGACAGTGGTTTCTGTCCTGATCATTTATCAGTTGTTGAGTGACTCATTTAATCTCTCTGTCTTACTTTCCTGAACTGTAAAATGGGAATAATTAGAGTGCCTGCCTCCTAAAGCACTTGTGAGGATTAAGAGAGATCACTTATTGGCTGGCACAGGGTCAAGGTTCAAACAATGCTAGTTTGTGGATGGCCTGAAGTCAGGGGACCTGATAGGAGTGTATAGGTCAGTTCAGGGCAGAGAGCCTTCCAGGTTTACCTCCGAAGATTGTCCTTCCTCCAACCAACTATACTCGTTCTTTCCAAACACAATTCCAGAACACTCATTTCCTCTAAATCACACTCTCCCTGCTTGCTACGCTCATCCCTTCCCATTGAGATCTAGCCCCGCCTTCAATGGCATGATGAAGCCCTCACAGGTGTGCAGGATCTCAGTAGTTTCTGACGGTCCTCATGCTTTGTATGTCCTCCAGGACCTGCCACATCATGCTAAAGTTGCTCACCTTGTTGTCTTGTGCATTTGTCTAGACAGGAGTGCTTTTTATCCATCTCCTTACCTTCCACTTTACCCAGCAGAATTCACTGTGTATTTTGGGACATTTGGCAACAAATGTCTGTTACACTGAGTTGAATTCATTAGTGGTAGAGAGAGTTGCAAAGACATGTTCCCTGGACAATTACAGCCAGAGATTATATCTACACAGCACCAAATGAGGAAGGGCTTTGGCAATTGCCCAAGTCATTGAATCTATGTAGACATCCACATGGGAAAATCCAGGCCACCTCATTGGTGTGGAGCTTGCAGAATTCTTTTTGACATTTGTGCAATTTTTCTTCTTCCACATTTCTCTATAAAAATAACCTTCTAGTTCACATGCCTTTTACCATGTGTCTTTTCCTACTGTTAGTCCACTCTTGGCAAAATTCCTGACCAGAAATTCCTGACCAGAAACGGCCAACAAGGGCTGGAACCACTCAATTCAGCTGCCTGGACATGAGTCCAGTGAACTGTACAAAAGCTAAGTGATAGCAAAGTCATTCCATGGCCTCATCCCATGGCCTCTGTGGCTAACAGTGTCACTTGGGACTATCATGTGCCACTGTGACATCAACCTCAAAATCTTAAGAACATACCCCCAAATACCCTAGATTTCTTAAGAATTTATTAATGCTTTATTATAACTGTTTATTTAGAGCCTTGGATTTATTCATTTAACAAGTATTTGTTAAGTTCCTGATCAGTGCCAGATATTATTCTGGTATGTAGAATATGAGACAGAGTAAGTTCTTGTGTTCCAGAAGCTTTCACTCTGGTTGGATGGGAAGAAAATAAATGTGTCAGGTGGCAATAAATTCTATGAGGGCAAAGAAAGCAGGGTGTCTCATTATCCATTGCTATGTCACATCTCACTCCAAAACAGTGGCTTCAAACAATACCTTGTTATTTCTCCTGAATACATGGGTTGGCTGGGCTTGTTGGGTGATTCTTCTGCTGGAGACCCCCGCCCCAGCTCACTCAGGAGGCTGCGGTCATTTGGAGGCTCAGCTAGGGCAGGGCCTCACTCAGGACCTGGGGCCTTGCTGCTGGCTATTGGCTATTGGCTGTTCTCTGTCCACATGGCTCTCCTATTCAAGAGTCCAGCCTGGACTTCCTTACATGGTAATGCAAGTATTCTAGTATGACAAAGGTGGAGGATTGTGATTTAGGGTTAGGTCAGACCATACCACTTCCACCTTATTCTATTGATCAGTGCCATTCACATAGCCAGCCTAGTCGTCAGGTTGGTGCCACCTTTTGATAGGAGAAACTGCAAAGGATTTGTGACCCCCTTTTTTTAGATTCTTTTTTTTTAAAATAAGATGCATTTTATTTAGTATGTTCAGGGTTGTTGGGGTCAAACCCAGTGACTAAGGCATACTAAGTATACATTCTTCCACTAAGCTACATCCCCAGCCCTGTGATCACTTTTAATCTAGCACATGTGGTGAATGAATAGTGAATGACAGACAGGGTATGTTATTTGAAACAGAGTGGTCAGAGAAGGCCTCTCTGATGAGATGTAATTTGGGCAGACACCTGCGTGAAGCAAGGAAATAAGCCATATAAGTACTTGGGGGAAGAGCATTCTAGGCAGAAACAATAGCAAGCAAAGGCTCTGAGGCCAGACTAATGCAATGCTTTGCCTTTAGATATTGATTCAATATTAAGGCTTTTCAATGAAGTTACATCCATCTAACTCATGGGAAATGCAATCTCCTTGGGCAACAGTGGAGAATTCCTAAGAGAACTGAACCAAATTAGAAAGGGAACTCATGATTTTGAAAGACAGATAGGACAATGAATTATATAAAAAATTTAAGACCAAAAAGCATCCATCTCTCTCATCTCTGATGCCTCCATTCACAACTCTACCCATCCGATGTTCCAGGCAGCTTCTGAAGCCTTTGGTAGAACTGCAGGAATCTCAGAGTTTAAAGATCCTCCTGTGGCCCACTCCGGTACCTATGGCTTCAGTCTATGTGCTTTGCACCCATCCTGGCCTCAGCTTGACCACAGACTGATGCTCACCTGGCTGTGAGACTGTCTCTGAGCAAATCAAGGTGTGACATGTGGGAAGCCAAGGTGTTTGGCTCCTTAAAGGACAAGCAGAGCCGAGGCCAGCAGAAGGGATTTTATGCTGCAATTACCAGAATCACCAGGGCAGTCTGAAGGTAATTGGGTAATTAGTGTGTGTGTGGAGGGGGCAATTATCCTGCCCACTGGCTGCCAGATGCCTGTCACTGCTGCTCTGGCCCTTGGGTTGGGTTCCTGGCTCTACCTGTGGACTATTAAGCGTAATGACCCTGTCATGCCGAAGAGCCTGTCATTATCTCTGTGTTACCATCATATTTACCCACAAAATCTTGCCAACTCTCTCTGTACTTAGAGGACCTCCATGTGGTCCCCCTGCCCTGGCACTGGACAACCTTACAATTGTCAGGATACACGTGGCTTTAAAAGGTTGAAAAATGGACTGTGGTTCTGGGGTCCTCCTGGGAGGCTCAAAAGGGACACTGGAACTGACACAACCCCATTAACAAAGCCTGTGACTGTCACCCTCAGAAACAGGATCTTCGCGGCATCAGGACCACCCAGGTCAGGCACATTTCCCCATGAGGCTAATTCATTGGCTACTGTGTAAAACCAAAGCCAACTTGACATTTTGCAAGTTGCTGTCTCTCTTAAGTCTCTCAGCCCTGCCAAGAGGAAACCCCATCACTGACATAGAGCGGAACTTTTAAAAAGTACTCGGCAACTCTTACTCTGTGCTTCCCAGTCACTCTTCATTGTCTCCCACAAAACTCAGACACCCCCTCTTTCTACAGCCTGCCTCTGCCTTTGGGGCTCTTGTTTGTCATGAATAGCTCTAAATCTTTTGTTTCTGAGGAAAATCAAATTGGCCCATGGTCTCTCCCATTTCTCCTCCCTCCCTTTACCCTGTCATGGCTACCAAAGGCACAAAGACCAAGGGCACCTAAACCATGCTTTTATGAGCATCTTTTTACATAGATCTTTATGCACGAGCACAGACTCTTCAGTAGGTTGCAGTCCTAGACTTGGAGGGCCTGAGTATGAATGAATGTTTTAATTTGAAGTGATGGTCAGATTGTTTCTAAAGGTTGTACACATTCAAATTTCCAACAATAGTTTGTTAGAAGCCTGTTTGCCTAGAACCTTGCCAAATGGGGTTCTTTGTAAAAAAGAAAAAAAAGGAAAATGCAGAGAAGCATAAGAGAAAACAAAGATTGGCAGTCATACCACTATCCAAAGATAAAAATTGCTATACACATTTTAGAGGATGACAGCCAAGGCCATAGCTAAGGTAAGTCACCTTTGGAACTTTCTGGGAGCCCTAATGCTAGTAACAAAATGTTAAATATCACCCCGTTCTTCCTCTCCCCCACCACCCCTCATGTCTCCTAAGGCCTGAGATACTTTCCTCAGCTTGTGGAGACTTCTGAGGGGTGTGGTTCCAGGTACCCACACCCTCAACATACATCCCCCATTTCAAACAGTTCTGGTGCCAGAAAGACGCGGAGCTTAAGGATTTGTGGAGTAGGAATGGAGTACAAGCATTCCAAAAATGTGTTTCCAGACATTGGCAGCTGGATCCAACAGATTGGAAAACCCATCCCTCTGGCCAATCCCAGAGCCAAGTTTCCATTTCTCAGGGACCCTGACATGCCCCGTTAAGCCTCTACGCTAATGACAGCTCTGCTTTCCATTCCAGAGACTTGAATTATAACGAGCTGCAGGAGTTCCCCATGGCCATCCGGACCCTGGGCAGACTGCAGGAACTGTAAGCTGCTCTGTTGGTGTCTGTGGGCATCTTTTCCTCCCGAGGGCAGGGGCCAGCCTTGGCCTCCCTCACCTCCTCACCTCCCATGGTCCTTGTAAAAGCTGTAGCTACGGGCCTTTCCTGGCCCCCAGGACAGCTCTAAGTAGTCACAGGCCTCATTAGCTTGGCTTTGAACATTTCCTAATGGTATGTCATCAGCAGAAGTGACCCTGGGTCTTCAAGCCGGGGAAGACCCATGGCATGAGCCACCTCTGGTAGCCTGGGCTGGGCATTGCCCCTGTCTTGCAGAAGCTCATAAGGATCTAAGAGGCTTACTGTAAACTGGAGTGGAGTCAAATGAAGAGGGGCTGAAGGTTTATGAAATGAGTCCCAAACTTTCATACAGCCCAGGTCTTCATAACTTAAACTACCACCTAAGACCTAGAGTGCCAGTCCCCTTCATTTCCAGGCTTTGAGGCCAAGCCAGCCTCCATTTGAGGAACATCCTCCCCCCAGGGTCCCCTGGAAGCTCTCTTCTTTCTGCACCCTCCTTTTTCTAGCACATACCCCTGGCTTCCTCTGTGGGGACCCACCAGGGTTCCTACCACACGGGACCAAGGAGAGGTCCCCTCTTGACAACTTGCCCTTGAGTTGCTCTCTCAGGCTTCCTGAGATCTGCAGCCTGAGGCTCCAGCCTTGCTCTCTTGGCTCTTGTTTGAGAAAGGATAAGTGTGTTACTGAACAAAGAAGGAAGCTCACAGGCAAGACTTGAACCTAGAGTCTCCAGGCTGGTGTCTGTTTGTCCACAAGCTGTCCAGTCAGCCTCACAGATGTCTATGTCTTTCCCCACCCCAAACCCCCACCACTCCTGGGTGCTGTCTTGCAGGGGCTTCCACAACAACAACATCAAGGCTATACCCGAGAGGGCCTTCATGGGCAACCCTCTGCTGCAGACGATGTGAGTACTGCTCATGCGGCTCTGGGCACTGAGTGTTGCAGGGAAGAGGAGGACAGGGCTCTTAGAAAGCACCAGGAAGGCAGGAAGATGGGAGGACCACTCACTCCCTCTTGTCTCTTCGCTGGGTTTCCCCTGGGAGGAGAAGGAAGCAGTGGTCAGCCTTGGTTCCCACTGAAAGCAACAAGAAACTGAATTAGGTGTTTGGGTCTTTTCTTCCAGACACTTTTATGATAACCCAATCCAGTCTGTGGGAAGGTCAGCCTTCCAGTACCTGCCTAAACTACACACGCTGTAAGTGTTGCCTGTGGGCTGCCGCAGCCTGGACCACCCCTTCTTCATGTCTTGCTCCCTCCTGTTTCTGCTCGAGGTTTCTCCCCTACAATGTATGGCCCTGCTGGGAAGCATGGCCTTTGGGGAGACGGCCCCACTTTCCTCACATCTCTACCCAGCTGTGTGAATGGCCTCACTCCACGTCCGAAACCAGCAGTAGGAGATGGATAAAGAGGTCCTTCTCTGAGGCATTTTATCTGACTTCTCTGGTTAGCCTGCTCATGGATGCTGTCCCATAGGGCCCTGCTGAGTGAACAGCTGACCCAGGTCCAAAAGCTGTGCATTTTCAAAGCTGGCTGTCAGAGACCCTGGAGCATAGCTCCCTGGGACTCTTACCGTGGTCTTCAGCACACTTGGCCTGTAGGTGTGCCTTCCTTTCCTCCTTCCCAGTCCTGCAGTTCCCAGCCAGGTCTCTCTTCTTCAAAAGCATGCATGGCTTGCTCTCAGCACCGTGGCCTCACGGTAACATAGCTGATGCCTTCAAAGCACCTGCCGCATGTTCCTTAGTGCATTCCAGCTCCATCCCAACCATGGGAGTAGCTCTTACTGGCCCATTTTATTGATGGAACCTGAGGTGCTGGGGTACTCTCCAGACATGCACCCAAATCCCCAACTTCTGATCTTGGCCTCATTGCTGGATACTGCCTTCTTCTCAGGGTCTTATTTGTTTGTGTCCTGTTGTGCGCAGGCTCCATGTCCTCTCCGTGATAGGGAACAGCAGGCAGGGAAAACCATCAGTCTAAAGCAGTTTTAAAGAAAGTGAAGCCAAATAAAGCCACAGCAGGTGGCTAATTAAGAGAGACCCTACCTCAGGCTCTAAGAGGCAAGCCCAGCAGCCAAGGACTTTTTATTAGAAGCACCATGCTGTTGACTTTTCAACACGTGGTTCCCATGTCCCTTATCTTTTTGTTTTTGTTGTTGTTCTTATTGTTGCAATATTGAAGCTGCCTAGCTCAATCTGGGCTAGGGCGGGCTGAGCCAACCTAAGAAACTGGCTATCTGAAGCCTTCTGTGCACCAATCAGTCTCCACCCAGGCTAGCATGGCTGCTTTGGGGGCGGCTGGGGAAAGTTGACATGTCCCCAAAAGGTGAGTGTGTCCCTTTAGGTTAAAAATACCCATGTTGAGATGCCTTGACTCACCTTTCCAAGACTGTCTCCCTTTCCAGATCCCTGAACGGTGCCACAGACATCCAGGAGTTCCCAGACCTCAAAGGCACCACCAGCCTGGAGATCCTGTGAGTGGACTCTCTCTCCCTCCACCTGCTCTATCTCCCCGGGAGCTCGTCCATCTCGTGTCCTGGAAAGCTGTCGCCTCCTCTGGCCTGCCTCTTGCTGCATGGCCTGCATCAGACCATGGTTATCTCCTGATGCAGTGCTGCTTGCAGGCCAGGCAGGGGCTGGCGGGATGCGGATGAGAGGCTGGCCTTCCTCTGTTTACTGTGCTGGGATTTTTCAAATCTGACTTCAGAGTTCCTAACCCCAGGCCATGCGTGCACTGCGGACACAGGCAGGGAGTGGGGGTTGTGAAAACCCACCTTCTTTGTCATTCTGCAGCTTGCTCTGAACAAAGGCCTTCTCAGACTCTCTGTTATTATACCCTGTGGAGGGAAGGGGTGGCAGTGCATAGTAGGCCTTCAATGCATTTTAAGGAATGAGTGAAACAATCAAGCAAACACCAGAGAGCCAGGAAGTCAGCTCCCTGCCTCACATCTCACAGCTCATTCATGGCCTCGCTGGGACTGGAACTCTGCTCTGTGCCTCTATTGTCTTGCTCCAGTGTTGCTGGCATGTAGAAAATTTTCCATGAGAGAAATAACAGTCCCGCAAGGATGACCTTGGCCTTGGGTCTTTCCTAGGACACCCTGTGCCTAAGCCAAGCCCATTCTCCCATCTGCCCTCACAGCCCTCTCCACCCTGGGTCTTTCTTTCTTTCCCTTCTCTTCTCCCTACCCCAAGGCGCAGGGAGTAAACTCTGTGCTTTGTTCCCATGATCCCACTTGAGCTTTTTTCTGTCTACTCCCTTCCATGGCTACCCCTCCTCCATACAGCCCCTAGAGCACAGAAGATTTAGTCCTGGTCCCACAGGCCCAGTGTTGCTGGAGACCATTATGAGAGATGGGGTGGGGCTGGGCTGGGGGGAATGGGTGGGGCTGGGCTTGTAAAGTCTGTCTGCCCAGCAGAGGCCCCTCGGCTGTGGCCCTCTCTCTTCGCTTCCTACCCCAGCTCCTCCAGCCCCAGGGGAGCTTGGCACTCAGATGCCAACGGCTGCCTGCTCCTTTCTGTCCCCACAGCCCCACCCCCTGCCCTGTCTCTCCCATTACATCTCTCTTTTGTCAGTTCTGTCCTCCCAGGACAGTATCAGACCCAGAGCTGGAGATGTGTAGCTGGGAATGACTGGGCCCTGGGACTGGTGCCAGCTGTGTCTCTGTTCTCCCTGCAGGACCCTGACCCGTGCGGGCATCCGGCTGCTCCCACCAGGAATGTGCCAACAGCTGCCCAGGCTCCGAGTCCTGTGAGTGGCTCATAAGCATTCCACAGTCATGGCATTGTGCCCCAGAAAAGCCTCTCCTTCTTCTATCCACTAGGTCATAGCAGCTTAGGCTTCCGCTGAGACCTGCCCAAGAGGGACTGGGCTATCCTCTCTTGTTCCAGACAAAAAGACAGTGATTGGTCTTTGGAGTCAGACACGGGTTGTTTGAGGACCAGTTAGGCCCCTCACTAGCTGCACTTATTTGGGGTCATTCTTTAATGTCTCTGAACCTCAGTCTCCTCATCTAAGAAGTGCAAATAAATTTTTGAGGGTTGAAAAAATATGTGTAAGGACCCTGGCACACAGTAGGTGCTCAATAAATGGCATTATTACTCTAATATGTACAAGAAAGTTAATTCTTTCTGGGACTGTTGAAGGAAGTACTCAAGCGACCTGTAAGGTAAATCAAGGGGGATTTTTTCTATTTCCCTGACTCTAGTTTAAATCTGAGGCTCCTCACCAGGGTCCATAGTCCCACAGTCCCAGTGGGTACACTGACCCTGTCTGGAAATATGGGCCTTGCCACTGTCTGGCACTGAATCCTAGGACTGGTCCTGGGCCTTAGTGCCTCAACTGCTGAGTGAAAGGGTAGGGCCAGATGCTCTCTGAGGGCACTGCCAACTTTGTAAGTGGTGGTTATGGGTGTTGTTCACTTGGGCTGGCATCGACAGCTTGCTCAGTAATGCATGTATGCCTGCTGGCTGTCTCCCTGCCCTGCAGCTCACTCTCTGTCTCTCTTCTTGTCCCCATGTCCATCACTCCCTACTCTACTTCCTGCAGGATGCTCCCAGAGTCCTCCAGGCTTTCCTGTGGGAAAGGCAGCACCACTGGGAAAAAATGCTGAGCCAGCCCCACCCAGGCCCAGTGAGGAGCGGGGCTTAGCAGGGGGACATGAAGAGGAGTCTAATTGAGGAAACCAATTCCCTGGTGGGAGGTGTGTCCACAGCCGTGTCCCTGCAGGTCCCCAAGACCTTCAGCTGCTTAACAGGAAAGCACAGCCAGAGCTGCTTCCCCCACCCCCACGCCGCCGCTGTGCCCCAGCCCTGGACTTCCTGTCTCTTCCAGGGAGCTGTCTCACAATCAGATCGAGGAGCTGCCCAGCCTGCACAGGTGTCAGAAATTGGAGGAAATGTAAGTCTGGGGGCCAGGGAGGGGCAAAGGCATACAAACCAGAGCTGGGCAGGCCTGAGGGGAGGTGGGCAACGAGGGTAAAAGCATTTTTCTCTTTCTTGGAGTTGGCTGAACCCAGGATTTAGGGGTAGGAGCTTGGCAGAGGCCTGGACATGACCCTTAGGGCTCACACAGCAGACAGACCCAGGGGCTGTATGGGACTCAACAGCAACACAGAAGTGCAGTAGTGATGCGGCTGGTGGTGGGTCAAGGCCATATCAGGGCTCAAAGGGCTGGACACGAGGCTTCCGAGGAGCTGGGGCTCCCTGCTCTCTCATTGTCACACTCCCCTAACACACACACAGGCACACGTTTGCTCACATACATATATACAAGTATACGTGAGGTCCAAGTTTCACAGGGAAAAAAGCTACTTTAAAAATCCTAAATTCTGCGCACCCAGCTCCTGCTCTCTCAAGCTCGAAGGCCTCTAGAGCCTCCAGGGTAGGTACCTGCCTCTAGGCAGAGCAGTGCTTTGGGGGCCAGGAGAGGGACCACACCAGGGTTTGTCCTGTTTGGGTGACTCTGCAAGAAGGGGTCCGGGGTCCAGCTCCTATGCAGACTGCCTGGGTACTCAGCTGTGCTTCTCAGCTCAACCCAGTCACTCCAGCTGCCCCAGGGCTGGGCGGTGTCCCACTGCCGTGCTGGGGTCTGAGGACCCACGTGGAAGGGGAGCGTGGGGCGCAGCTCAGCTGGGCTAGGAGCCAGGCCCGGTGGGAACACTGGAAGCTAACTCTCTTTTGGGCCACAGGGATGGTTTTGTGGCTTTGTCTCCTGACCCACTTACCCAAGGCAACCGGATCCCCCTGTGCTCCCTTTAATTCTGGTGACTTCCGTGGGCTGGGCCCTTTCTTCCCATGCCAGGAGAAGTCGGGGGCTCTCTTTTCTTCCTCCCAGTGCTGGGGGGTGTGGAGCAGAGCCAGAGTTTGAGCTTGCAAGCTCATCAAGCCTTTCTTGCTGCCCCAGTGGCCTCCAACACAACCGCATCTGGAAAATTGGAGCGGACACCTTCAGCCAGCTGAGCTCCTTACAAGCCCTGTGAGTACCTGCAGTGCCCAGGGGTGGGTCGTGGAGGAGCCACCGTATCCCTCTGGCATGCTCGAACTCACAGCGCACGTGTCCTGTGTAAGCACACAACAGGCACGGCACCCGCTTGCTCCATAGCCCTTTCTCCAGCACACACTGGAGAGGGACCTTGCCCCCCGGATGGGTTCACAAGCCATTTCTCCAGCTGGTACCCAAGGGGCCATGAGGCTCAGGAGCCAAGCTGCTAGGTCCTTGTTCTGAGGTCCACAGCCAGGTTGGGAGTCGGGCAGCAGAAGGAACTCAAGGCTAAGGTCCCCTGAAGGCTAAGGTCACCGCTGCTGGGAGCAAATCAAATGGGGAGTATGTGAGGGAGAGCCCAGATGGGAGCAGTGCATCCTCCATAGGTCACTGTCCTCTCCTATCACACACTCTGCCCACAGGGACCTGAGCTGGAACTCCATTCGGTCCATCCACCCAGAGGCCTTCTCCACTCTGCGTTCCTTGGTCAAGCTGTAAGTGGCTGCTGACACTCCTCCAGGACACTGGGGACCAACTGGGGCTGTGGGCTGGTGGGGAGGGGGAAGGGAGGGCCACCCCTGAGAAGGGACACCCATGTTTGACTACATATCCAAGCGAGATGGGCTCCAGCTTAATCAATCATTCTGACAGTCCGTTTGACAGACTGTGGAGCCTGATAAACACAGCCTGCCTCCCGCAGGCGCTGGAACATCATCTGCTAATGTTCTGCAACATTTTGGCGGACCCGGGCCTCCTCATGTCCCCTACCCGAACCCACCCCGGCCTCTACATCCTCTCCATGCGCCAGTACAGAGCGTGTGGGCCTGGCACTCCCTCTCAGTGCTAGAGGGTGGTGGCTGATGTGGGAGCCAGGGTCTCAGTGCTCGAGGGTCCCTTGCTTGAGCACTACTCTGAGAACTGCCATTCTGCAGGGCAGTAGGGGACCACAGGTCCTCTAAATTGCATGGGATATAAACAAGAAGTCTGCCATCCTGCTATATGGTCATTATATCAGGGTAAGAAGGGCTTCTGATGGGGCTTCCTTGCACTATGGTGCAGCTTGTCCACTGCACGAAGGTTCCTGCCCACAGGGGAGCCGATAGCCTATGTGGCTCCTTGCTAGCCTGTGTGTCCTGAAGCCACATCCATCTAGAAGGGGCTTCTTTCTGAGTAAGACAAAGATTCCTCTGGCCTAGCCCCAACCTGGCCTCAGAGAATCCAACCCGGGCCCCTCACTCCACAGTGATGTCTCCAAGGCCCAGGGGCAGAAGTTTGCTCTAAGCCAAGCACCAGAACCCAGAGTTCCTGGTGGCACATGGTCCCTCCCCAGTCTGCGGCTCTCTGGGTCTGGGCCACAGATTTGCAAAACCCTCACCTCCCTCTTCCCTCTCCTGTTTGCTCTGCTCCTGCCACATAGGTAGGGCAGATATTTTTACCCTTTGAGAGATGAGGACATTGGAACGCAGGCCGATCTGTGACTCCCTTTGGTTACCTAGTGCGTCAGTGACAGTGCCAGGTTTCCTGCCTCCCAGTCTAGAGCTGTTTCCACGATGCACCGGCTGTGGCTGTGCTGTTTGCTTTGGAGCCCTGGCTTCCTCTAACCCAACTCCCATGTAAGACCATGTATGTCCTCACCTCTGGCTACAAGGCAGGCACAGCCAGGCGAAACGAATGACCCAATCCCTGCTTGTAGCCAACTCTGTCCTACCCTCAGCTCTGGCTTCTTGAGTCATCAAAGAAGCAGAGGAGAGACAGGAAAGAAGCAAACAGCAGCTAGGTTCCCTGGGTAGGGCGGACAGAGGGTGCTGGGATGGGATTCAGACCTGAGCACAGGAGCTGAGAGGGATGTTACCTTCACATTGGGACAGCTTAGTATTAACCTAGAACAGTCCCTAGTACATGGTTGGCACCCAATGTTTGCCGAATGAATAATGAATGGATGAATGAGTTATAGATGGTGCCTCTAGCAACTTTTGAGAGTCCTCTTCCCCCAGCAAGTAATGCTGTCTTCTCTCTATGCTTATCTTCTGTCCTTTGCTCCTCTCCTCTTGCTTCCATCCCAGGCACACTGGCCACACCCTCAGCACAGCCCTGCCCCCTCAGCAACCCCAATGACTGCCAATAACCCTGACCATCCACTGTCCTAGGGACCTGACAGACAACCAGCTGGCCACACTGCCCCTGGCCGGGCTTGGGGGCCTGATGCATCTGAAGCTCAAAGGGAACCCGGCTCTGTCTCAGGCCTTCTCCAAGGACAGTTTCCCAAAACTGAGGTGAGAGCCTGGCTTTCCCCGACCCCGGTGGAGGTTGGCCCCTGGTCAGATAAAAAGCATGGAGGGACATGGAGAAAGCCACAGGGCCTCAGCCCGAGAAAAGCCGGGTGGCTTAGAGTATGACCAGGACTGCATGGGAAGTGCTCACCTGCCCTCCTTCCAGCCTGGCCATGGTCTGGTACACACCTCCCCTTCCTCCTTGTCTCTTTTAGCATTTTCCCCCACCCCAAGAACCACCTGTGAGGACAGAAGCAATGTGAAGGGCCCGTAGACCTCCTTGCCCTGTGCCTGGTTCCACATGGCCAGACTATCCATGATCACATGGGCAGCATCTGGCCCCTGGGATCAGGGCAGAGCCCAGGGCACTGATGAGTGGAAAACAAGCTACACAGCAAGTCCCTGGTGCTAATGACATCCAGACCTCTTTTCTGCAGCAGTGACAGCAGTGCAGCCTGTGTGGCCCAAGCCCCATCCGCTGCAAGCTCATTAGATGCCCAAGGCATCTGCCCTGGCCTTCAGAGGGCACCAAATCCAGTTCTGATGTGCCCAGAAAGGGTGGGAGACAGGCTGTGAGTCTCAAAGGGGAAGGGTAAAGAGTCACTAGGAACATCCCTGCCTCTTTAAATATAAAAGAAGTTGCTGCCCAGGATCGAGGGCAGAGCATCCAGAGTACTATGTCCCCTCAAAGAAGTTTTTGCGCTTTCTGAGCCCGCTGGACAGAAGGTTTCTTCCCCATCTCAGTGCTGGAGATGAATGAGGAGAAAACTGGAATATGTCCAGAGTCCTCCAGAGCCCAGTTAGGCTGCAAGACTCTCACAAAGGAAGCCCAGGAGGCTGCTGGCACAGGGAGCAGGGTGCTGTAGGGTTGAACAGCAGGCACTGAGTGCTTGATTCTTGGACTGGAGCTCTTTTCACTTAGACTAAAGTCTTAGACTCCAAACATACTGAGGCTGCCTTTCTCTCCTCGGCCAGGATCCTGGAGGTGCCCTATGCCTACCAGTGCTGTGCCTATGGCCCCTGTGCCAGCTTCTCTAAGGGCTCCGGGCAGTGGCATGCTGAGGACTTCCACCTGGAGGAGCAGGAGGCCCCAAAGAAGCCCCTGAGCCTCCTTACTGGACAAGCTGAGACCCACTGTGAGTGACTGGAGGCCCTGGGCTGGCGAGTTGGGGGCTGTAAGTTAGAGAGGAAGCTCCGGGACCTGGAAAGAGGTCTCACAGGAGCTGGAGAGAGAAGTCTTGGTGTAGGGGTGGGGGTAGGGGTGGGGAGTGCTTGGGACCTAGGAGAGTCTCTGCCAATGTTTCCACTTTGTCTCTCCCAGGCTGCACCCTGGAGGTGCTTGGGGAAGAGTAAGGATGTAATGACAGCAGCAGTAATGTCCCAACACTTGCCCAGCCTTTGCGTTCACAAGCACTTTATGCTCACCATCTGTCTCAATACTGGTGCATCTGTCTCAATACTTATGGCTCACATGCTGCTTCTCCACGATGCCCCCTAGTCACCAGATTCCTCCAACTCAGGGCATTTTCAGAGAAGACAGAATCCTTGGTTAATCACCTTGAGTCAAATGTAGGATTCAATTAAATCGATTGAATTAAACCTGCTTCCGGAAAAAAGTAAAATTCCCTCACAATGTGTTTGTATTCATCAGTTTTCCCATTGCTGGACACAATACCTAACACTCAAACTTGAAAGAGGAAAAGTTGAAGTTGGCTTATGTTTTAAGGGGATTCAGTCTGTGGTCAGTTAGCTCCAAGGCAGGCACATCAGAGTGGAGTAAAGCTGCTTAGTTCATGGCTGCTGGGAAACAGCACAGGGAAATAGAGCCTGCCAGAGAGGAAGGGGCCAGGAACCAGAGATCCCAAGGCCACCCCTCCATGACCCACCCTCATCACCCAGAAGTATACTCCACCAATCACCTGAGAGAATCCCAAAGTCAATCAAGTTAACACAATCAAGCCTAACCTTCACAAAGTTCTGGAACCAAAAGGAACATTGCTGGGATTAGTGTCCTCTGAAGCTATTGTGTGCCTCCAGTCTGCCTGTGAATCTGCGAGTGACACCTCAGCAGCCCCTGGGATCAAGAAGGCCTCGCAGAGCCTTGTGTCAGATAGATCTGTTTCTGAAAGAGTTGGGGTAAAAGGGAAAGATTATAGTTGAGTAGCCAGGGAGTTTTAAGGGGTCATCTACTAAGTGATCCTTAGGTAAAAGGTGGAAAGGAATACTTTCCTCTCCCTACAGAGATAGATAGGAGAAAAAGACAAGGAGCCCTGCTTCTTGGATACATTTTTCTACCTTGAACTTCCTTTCTACAGTACCTCGATGAAGAAGCTGGACAGAAAAATAACGTTTAATATATAAGAAAGACATCTCATGATGGTGTAGACAGAATTGAACCCAATTATACAACTGACCAGTTGAGTTGCCTTAGACAAGTTATTTAGTCTTAGGGAGGCTTTCTGAGCCTCAATGTCCTTATCTTTAAATGAAAGAGACAATACACCTCTCTCAGCTGCTGTGTACTCCAAACGTTGGGCAAGCAGTCGGGTGGGGGGGGATGTATCTGAGAGCCTCCCTCCCAGTGTACCCAAGCACCTCCCAGGGAGGGTACAGGACATGAGGAGGAGGAGGCCAGCAGTTGGCTGAGCTTGCAGACTGCTGTCCCAGGGGGACATTCCCGGATGTCTGCTGCACACTCCCTCAGGGGGCTGGAAGGAGGAGTGGAAATTTTTCTTCCTCAAGGTGAAACTTTCCACCGGGCTTAAGTCTTGGAGAACCACAGGACGTCGAGCTCGTGGGCTGCCTGCTGCCTGTAATGGGAGCTATAGCAGGGCCCCCCTTCTTCCTGTGGGAGCAACTGAACCTCCACAAAGAAAGCCAGGAGCTGCTGCTCCAGCCAGATTCGATTTCCTCCTTGTTTGAAGACTGGTTACTTAACACCTTGGCTGTGACTTTCCCAGCCTCAGACAGAGTCCCTGGGTTTTGCCCCTTGTATTTCATTCACGCATTTTGATTTCAAAGAATTGGTAAGCTCCATTCTAGAGCAGAGGGGCGGGCATGGAATGAAAGGTAGGGAGGGAAGGAAATGCCAAGACTCTGTGGGCACACCTCAGCCTTCTACCTGCCCTGGTGCTGTCCAGGCCAACCAAGGGCAGCTCCACAGCCTTCCAGCCTCCTGGGAAAACTCCCAACCCAAAGTGTTTACTCTTTAAGTGGAGAGGAAGGATCCACACAGAAACAGCCAAAGACAAGGACAGGAGCCACAGAGTTACCTACCCATCCCCTTAGGCTGGAGGAAGCGCCACAGGGCACTCCTAATCCTGAATAATATAGAGGTGACTTTTAAAGACAAGCAATTCTGTCTTCCCACGCAGGTCCTCAGACAACTTCCCAGTCTGAGTTGAGAAACTTAAGTTTTATTCTTTAAAAACAGTTTTAAAAATTGTTTTGTGATGCTAGTTTAAACCCAGGGGCTTATATATGCTAGGCAAGTGCTCTACTACTGAACTATGTTCCCAGTCCTTTCAAAATTCTTACAGAATTTATTTTTATTTTTTATTTTGGTTTTTTGAGACAGGGTCTTGCTATATAGTTCAGGCTGGTCCTGAACTCACTATGTAGCTCAGGCTGGCCTTGAACTTGCAGCAATTCTCCTGCCTCAGCCTCCCGAGTGCCTCTCTTACAGAATTTGTGAATCCCCAAGATGTCCATAACTCCCTGGAGTTCAAAAGTCCTAGTTGCAGAGCTACTGCCACGGGCTGGGGATACGGCTCAGGGGTAAAGCATTTGCTTAGTATGCACAAGGTCTTCAATTCAGTCTCCAAACTGGAGCAAACAAACATGCAACTGTGAATGAGAAAAAAGAAATCTCCTATGGCATTAGAATTGAAAGGAACATTAATGGTTATCTAGTCCAACATCTCACTCAGGGTGAAAGTGCTCTCTCAGTTTAGGGGTTTTCTGCTTCCATATCTCCAGGAACAAATTATGCCCAGCTTCTGCATCTGTACCTCTCCCCACCTCCTTCCCATTCTTTACCCTCCCCAAATAACTACTCCATCTCCATGAGTAAATAAATAACTGGGCTCCATAGTCAGACAAATCCGCATTTCAATTCTGTTCAGTCACTCTCTGGTTGTGAGACCTGGGGCAAGCTCAACTTCAATAAGCCTCAGTTTCCTTGTCCGTCACCTGCCTCGTGTAGCTGCTGGGAAGGTGCAGCCATGAAGATGAGGAGTCACAAGAAGAGTAAAATAAAAAGGAACGCTCATCTTTGTTAAGTAAATCTATGAGTTGATGTAGCATGACGATTTGTTTCCTCGGTTGTCTCCATAAACTCTCAGCAGGACCATATCTTACTCATCCCAACTCTTTCTATACTTGCCCAGTGCCCAAATATAGTTGGCATTGTGTTCAGCTACATGAGTCCACTGTGCACTTCTTAAAGGTGGGGTGTTGTTTTGTAGGACAACTAATTGTGGGGGTTTGTTCTTTGTAGGAAGAGCTAAAAAGTCTCCATTTAAACTATAGTCCGCAATCTTAGACAATCCATCTATTGATGTTCTACATTACGGGGCAAAACAGTATGTAGGAGTCTCCTTGATACTTAAGCTTTCAACTGTTTGTCAGCCATAATATCCTGACTTAGTTTTGCCTTCTGCAAGCTAAATATCCCCCAGTTAATTTTGATTATTTCTCACACAAATGACTTCTGCTCCTTCACTATCCTTGGTTAACCTGTCAACACACTGCACCTTATTGATCTCTCCTTAATGTAGTTCACAGATGGGCAGGGAATTGCAATGACACCCTGGCCAGAAGAGAGAACCATATGATTTCTAGCTCCCATTACTAGGGCAGCCACCACCCCAAACTCTCAGCAGCACTTCCAACCTAAAGCCAGAAGAAGGCACAGGAGAATGCTGAGTGACAGAAAGAGCAAGTCTGGGTGAAAAGTACAGAATCAACAGTGCACATAATCCACACACGGATAATAAGGAGATGTTGAATATTTACACCCCAGGTTAGAAACAGATATGCAGAGCTGCCAGATGACCAGGACTGAGCAGAGTTAGTGCGAGGCGAATCTGCTCAAATGAGTGGGAGTTACCGGGAAGGTGGGTAACTGACACCATGACCCAGGAGCCACTTTCTTGTCTCCCCTCTCAGATGACCTGGACCTGGATGAGCTCCAGCTGGAAATGGAGGACTCAAAGCCACACCCCAGTGTCCAGTGTAGCCCTATTCCAGGTGAGATGAGAGCTTGGGGAGCAGGGAAAGGGGCTGAGGACAGGGCATTCTGCTACCTAGATGGTGGGGCAGTTCAGCTGGCAGGTCTGTAGTCAAGTTTCAGGGACTTACTCTACCTGCTGCCCACCTGCTATGGGGAGGGCCTTTTCTCATAATTCCTGGGAAAGAGCTGGAGTTTTCTCCTTTGGGTGGCTACCTGTGAGTAGTAGTGAGGCTGAGAGTGAGGGAGTGTCTGGCAACCTTTACAAATCAGCCAACTAGAGGTTGTACCTGTGGAAGAAACCACTGGCATGGAGAAGCAAGAAAGAATGTCTTAGTCCCAATGCTCAGGGAGGCACGTGAGACTGCTTCTGAGCGTTCCCTTGGCCTAAGACCCACATCACAGAATCCTGGAACTCAGTGGGACTCTGAAATGTCACCCTCCCCAGCCCTCTCTGCTCCATCCCAGAAAGAATGCATTCTTTCTTTATTAGAACGCTTCAGGATGGAAAAACTCCACAGTGTCCCTGGATAACTCCTACCGTACTGTCTAACCATTACAGCTGAAGAAACCTCTTTAGACTCTAACCTAAATCCATTTGCTGGGAAGAAAGAAAATTCTCTTCCTCCTTGGTAGAATTCAACCTAAGATGCTCACAGTAAAGAGGTCCCTTCCCTTTGTATAAAATGCTCACAGGCTATGCCAGAAGCCAGCAGCATCCTGCTTAGGCCAGGCCAGGAACTGTTCAGCATAAACAGAAAACGACAGTTGCTTCTATTTCGTCCCACCTCCATTCCCCAGGTTTCCATCTTTCCTTGGCTCAGGCCACTTGACCTTCTCCCCTTTTCCTCTCAAGCCGGTGGTGCTGGCCTGACCTTGCCCAACACCAGCTCTCGACACTTAGGGACAACAGCTCACTGCCCAGTCCCAGCTCGGACCCCAGCCCTGACCCAACCTAGAGGAAGCAGATGGTGGTGGTTTTTTTTTTTTTTTTTTTTTGACTTGGAAACCCAAATGCTTCCTTCACACAGCCACAGAAATTTCACCTATGAAAACGAGTCATCAACAGGGAGTAAGGGATAACAGGAAGTTCCAAAAAATAAGGTCCAACTTAAACTTTCTTTTAAAATAGATCATACAAATAGCCAGATAAATTACAGCACATCATATGTTGGAGTTTTTAGTACACAGCCATTGAAAATATTTTTGAGGACATGGGAAAGCATGCCTAACAAAATTTAACTTAAAGAAAATAATAAAAGGCTATTACAGAAAACACCGAGTTTAAAAATCAGTAGGTATATATGTATTTTTAGAAACATACCAAAACAATGAGTTCTCTGAGAGGTGAAGTCATAAGCAGTTTTGATATCTCCCTATTATTTTTAAATTTTTTCTACAATTACCATCTATTATTTCATAGTCAGAAAAAATGTTTTAAAAATAACTCTCACTCAAATAGCCTCTCAAATTCCCAAGCTACCTAGAAATACACTGAGAAACAAGAGTCCCAAGCCAAAGGAAATGAAGAATACTGGGTCCAAAGTTACAAGGTAATTTAAGAACAGACTCTGGAAGAGATGGAAAACACCAGAATCTCACCCACCTAATGAAGTAAGATCGGAGAACCCTAGAAGTCTGTATTTTGGTCACTTGTTTTACCTCCCAAGCACTGACTGACCAAGGAATACGCAACAGGAAATGTGACCTGCACGGAGCAGCAGAGAGCCGGCCTGGTACCATATCTGTGGTCAGCGGAGTCCTCAGTGATCACTGGGCAGACAGAGCCTTGGCCACAATCCCAAGTCTAATGTCCTGTCCTCTCCTGTATGTCCCTCTTCTTAGTCTGTCCCTCCCATCCTTCCATATGGTGCTCCGCTGGAAAGACTGATTTACATAACATTACTTTGACGCCTGGGTTTGCATTGCACCAATTTAGTGTGTATGCTCTATTTTTTACATGTATCTGGAGGATGGGTCGTATTCACCCCATTTGCAGCCCCTCAGAAGCAGAGCTGTTTATGTCCCCATCTTCTCTCCCTACACTGCGATCAGATGTTATCTGAGGGCGGAAGCTGTGCTCATCTCCCTGGGACTGGGGATCCTCTGGGTTCACAGGCGGCCCTTGGCCGGATCCCAGTAGCCTCGACCTGGAGGGGTAACGCCAGCTCTCTCTCCTGCAGGCCCCTTCAAGCCCTGCGAGCACCTCTTCGAGAGCTGGGGCATCCGCCTGGCCGTGTGGGCCATCGCGCTGCTCTCTGTGCTCTGCAATGGGCTGGTGCTGCTGACCGTGTTTGCCGCCGCCGGGCCCGGGCCCCTGCCGCCGGTCAAGTTCGTAGTCGGTGCAATTGCCGGCGCCAACACCTTGACCGGCGTCTCCTGCGGCCTCCTGGCCTCCGTGGACGCCGTGACCTTCGGCCAGTTCGCCCAGTACGGAGCGCGCTGGGAGACGGGGCTGGGCTGCCGCGCCACGGGCTTCCTGGCGGTGCTGGGCTCCGAGGCGGCCGTGCTGCTGCTGGCGCTGG